ATCCATACTCTGACTTATATTGAAAATATTTATTTTTGGACATGATCGTTTTCGGTATAGTCAAAAACTTTATAATTTCGTTTGCTAAAACTTTGCGCCTGTTGAATAATTATATACATCGATACAGTTTCAAATTTTTCTCCGAATAATGCAGGACCAATCGCATAATATTTAGATGACTTTCTGTCATCTAATCGTAGATGTTCATCCACTTTTTTTCATCCAGCCGGATATAAATGTCACCAGTCACCGGTCTTGTCCTATTCTTTCCGGGCTCTTGTTTTTCTTGATTTTCAGAGAAGAATCTTTTTCTTTCCTTTTAAAAAGAATTTTGACTGACGTTCAAGATAAAAAGAATCTTGCCCGAATATTATGAAGAAAAAGAAACACAAGATATTTTAAATTTCTTCATATTCAGACAAGATTCTTATAATAGAAAAGAAAAAGATTCTTGCCAGCTTTCTAAGATGAACAGCACATAATGTGGTCTTTGTATATCACATATATGTGACAGTCGGTTAGGGAATTTAGTTGTGTTTTGAATGCTATAACTAAAAAAATTATTTCTATATTTTTAATTTAAAGAAAAAGAGAATTTAAAATGGTTTCTGATTGTAGATTAAATTTTATATATGAAAAATATTTTCTTTTGCTAATAGCAAAGTAAAATATTGCCTATTTGAATAAATTCAATCAATTTAAGAAGAAAAGAAATTTAGACTAAAGATAAAATTGATGAAAAAAAGTTAATTTTTTGAATATTTAGATTTCTCATTCATTATAAACATTGCTTTATAAGTGGGACATACGGAACATTGATTTTTAGAATCAAAGAAAAAGAGATTTTTTTTATGACCGGGACATGCGGGACATTCAGCGATTGATTGTTTTTTTCTCATAGAAACTACAGAATTGTTTACATTAGATTATTTTATTACTCAAAATGTAAAGATTCTGTATGATCTGTTCAGGTGTAATAGATAGAGATTTTGTTTTTCTATTTCATTTACATCCAGCGGGGAATCGATGGTAATTATTAGCATTACTATGAATCATAAAATGATCAATTAGCGTATAACCCATCGAGACACAATTAGAATTGATAATAATAGAACTTTATCAGATATTTACTTCTTTTGTCCTTTGAAATGAGTACAATCACATGAAGTTTTTTACTAAAATAAATTTTTAATATTATAATATGAAAAATAAAATAAATTTACCAATTTCGTTGTTCATTTCCATGTTCTTCTTCGTCAGATAAACGTGATTCAATAATCAATGAAAATATATTCCAATCATATCGTTCCATTAATGATATTAAAGCTCGTGCTTCTTCTCAATATGTAGGTGCTAATTGAAAGAATCGAAGACGTGGCCAGTATTAAAACTAATATCATTCAAAATTAATATTTACTTCAGAATGAAATGAATGAAAATAATGAAATTTTAACATTGGATATTGTAAAAATGTAAATAATTTAAAATAAAATATATAAGCAGCAGGTGATGCATGATTTTCATTTCTATAATCATTTAAATAGATTAAAAGCATTGGCTGTGCTTGTAAAATTGAACCATAATTATCAGTTATAATATTAACTGATTTATCATTAACTGTATAAGTAGATCGTCTAGAAAAAAAAAAGTCAAAAAATTATTTACATATTAAATTTTCCACATGTTGCTGAATCATTTGACATCTATTGTGGTGATGCAAACATTTTTAATTGAATAGATTTGTCATCATTTCGAGATGATAAATTTGCTAATGGAATATTTATACATGCCATATTTGTTAACATAACTCCATGAATTCGAAGTTTAACATAAGATAAATTGTTCATAATAATAAACAATAATAAAAGAAAATATGATGACATTAGAATTATTCTAAGTCTTTGTAAAAACTACAAAGATGTAAGAACAATATATATGTATAAAAACGACAAATATTATTCCTTTCCTTTAGTGAATGGCCCTTGGCACAATCATTATCAAGAATAACATAATAGAAAAAGGATTATTTGTTTATTTGTTTTTAAATAAATATTAAAAGGTTTTAGAAACTCAGATGAGTTCAATGAGACTTATTCATATTACTATGAATTATAAAATGATCGATTAATGCATACATATATGAAAAAAATCGTCAGTGGTACTCAAACATATTATAGATTCAAATCATAGTACTGAATTAATGAAAAGTGTGTACCAGCACATCAGAATATGGGTGAGAATTAATTTAAACAAATTCAATTCTAACTAGATCTATATATTTAATTCAAAATAATTCTTCATATGCTAAATTTGACAAAAAATTCTGTACTCTCTTACAAAACTACGTGATATCGCGTTGATCATAAAGCTGCTTTTACGTACTAAGGTTTTCTCTTTTAGAAAAAAAGTTTCTTTTTTTTCCGCACATTCTAATCTTAATTAAATTATCATGTCAACTGTGACAATTAGTTTATAATCAATTATTTTTCACAATAAAAGCTAACACTGTCCTTGAAACACCTCAAATCAGCTAGAAAAGTGATGCAACAATCATTCTATAAAATACCAAGAATACAAATTAACCGCAGCTTCATCTAATATACGTTTCTTTTCGGTTCAGAATTTGATACGTGGTAAAAGATGGCTTTTACAGACCAATGAAATTGTTCTATGAGATAATGTCAAATGTTGTTTGATGTTACTGTTCGAATCAATTGTACACCGAATAATCGTATTAGATAATGACAAAAGAATATTCAATTTTTTAAAACTTTTTTTTCTTCATGGCTCTGATAAAACGGTTATTGTAGTCAATTGATGATTTTCTCTATCATTAGTTGTAGTCAAATGAGGAAAATGGAGTTTCATCTGATTACTTGATGCTTTTTCTTGTACTTTCAAATGTTTAAGCTCAGGATTGTGTGTTTTTGTCTCTTGAAATAAAAAACTAGAGCATAGTGTGATGATCTTATTCCTGAGCTTATATCACGGCTGATGTCTCTAAAAACACTGTGACATGTAAGTGCACTATCGTTTGCAATTCATCTCTGAAGATCAAACAAATAATAAAAGACGCTGGGTTACCGATTTTAAGGAGACAACAGTTTATTTAAAAACTTGAACTCTTTTGTTTATACAATAAACTAACATATGATCAAACTTTTTCCTAGAAGATTAGTTAGATCATCAAACAATGCGTCACAAACAAACACAGTCACTAAACGAAAAAAAGCATACAGAAAACTAATTAACAGCTGAAAACACAACAGAAA